AATATATATATATATATAAGTAATATATATAATATATGTATAAATATATAAATAAATATATATATATAATATACGTATATTAATAAATTTGTATATATTATGTCTGTTGTTTCTTCTTTTTGTTGCTATTCGTTTTTTCTTTTCTTTTTTAACTCCTTTTAATTCTTTACAACAAAAATAAAAGGGTTTAGGGTTTACTACTAGGGTTTAGGGTTTAGTGTCCTCTAAATGTATTAAAATAATTAGGGTTTAGGGTTTACGATATGTCTCTAGGGTTTAGGGTTTATAATAATAATTAGTATGAGGGTTTAGGGTTTAGGTCAACAAAAAGTTGTCTATCTCAGCATCTGCAACAAATACAACAACAGCAACACTGCTGCTGCTGCTGCTGCTGCATTTGCTGCTGCTGCTGCTGTTGCTGCTGCTGCAGTAAATAATAATTACGGTGTATATATATATATATACATATATACAATATAAAAGAGTAAATAAAGATCGGCATTTGTTGTTTTATTTATTTTCTTTATTAAAGAAAGAAAACTATTTGCTGCTGCTGTAACAGCAAATATCTGCTGCTGCTGCAGCAAAAGTCTACTGCTGCTGCTGCTGCTGTTGCTGCTCTGCTGCTGCAGCAAATGTCTTCTTTCTTAATAACATTATCAACACACGCACAACGATTGATCACATGCTAGCTAGTTAGCTAGCTAGCTAGCTAGCTAACTAGCTATAAATACAATATATATGGCTAGTTAGCAGCTAGCTACATGGCTAGCTAGACAACAGACTAGCTAGCTAGCTAGCTAGCTAGCTAGCTAGCTATTCATTAATATATATATGTATAGCTATGGTAAATATATAGTTAGCTAATTAATAGCCATAGCCAACAGCTGTGCTATTTATATATAATATATATAAACTAGCTTCCCTTATCTTAGCTAGCTAGCTAGCTAGCTAACTAGCTAGGTATAATAAGCTAGCTAGCTAACTAACTAACTAGCTAATTGATAATAATCTAGCTAGCTAGCTCGCTAGCTAGCTAGCTAACTAACTAAGAAGGAAGAAAGGTTAGCCACTTATTTATTATTGGCTAGCTGTGGCTATTATTCCCAACAGTTTCTCTCAACTACAACAGCAGCAACAAATCTTCTACTGCTGCACGCCACCCCTTCTGCTGCTGTTGCTGCTGCTGCTGCTGCAGCAGCAGCAAGAAATATATCCTCCTCCTCCTGTTTGCTGCACCATTGCATCAATTACATCTCCATCCTCTATACCTAGATCCATTGGTGTTTTTTCTGGTTTTACCCTCTCGCCATCATAAAGAAAACGTACAGAGTCTATTGATTGTCCTAATCTATTACAATATGCCGTCATTAATTTCTCCAATTTTGTTCTCCTTTTTATCTTAAAATATACCTCGCTACCATCCTATACATAAATAAATAAGTTAAATATATTTATATATACATTCATATCTTTATTTATATATATTATATATATATTATATGTATAATACCTTAAGAAATACATACCATTATTATATATGTATTTATATATATACATTGTTGGTAAATATACAAAGAAAAGGAATATACTCTTAGTGTCTATTTACTAATAGTGTATACAGAGAGGAAGGAAACAACACCAAAGAAATACAAAACTTGCAAAGAAAAAAGATGAATGGTATTTAAGAAAGAAGGCAAGCAGCAACAGAAGGAGGAAACGAGAGAAGCAGCAGGTTTTGCTTGACGTATTATTCAAAATAGGTATTAAACAGTATTATTAAGCAAAAAAATGAATAAAAATGAAAGAAAAGAAGGAGAAAAATAAGAAAGAAAGGATATATTCACCATGAGACGCAGAGGAAGAAAAAAAGAAGAAAAGCTTACCGGCGAGCGAACCTTGAGCTGCATGTGCTCCTTTTCTGCATTTTCTCCGTCTTTTTTTTCTTCCGACATTTTTAAAAAGGAAATTAAAAGAAAAAAAGGAAAGAAAATAAAACTGACAGATTCAGATTCCTCAACAAATACAAAAGTAATGAAGGGGTGTTGTGGTGGGGTGCTAAATGTTCCGATTTCAGGTGTACAGACACCTCAAAATTGAACAAGAGGAACAAGAAAACAAAAAGGAAGCGATCCGCAGCTAATCCGCCACCTTTTTTTGTTAATCTTCTTTCTATTTTATAAAATGATATATTTTCTTCTTATTTACATCCTTAGTGCACAACAATCCTCCTGCTTTCCCTCCCCAAGCAGCGGCTGCAGCCCCCACTGTGGCGATATACAATAATATACCATACAGAGCTGCTCCTATTGATGGAGGTAATAATAATAGAGGATTCTCCTTGTTTTTTATATCTTCTGATTATTTTAATCCATTACTTTTGTTTAAAAGTATAAAATGTTTTCTTTTGATAGAATAAAAACTTAAACAATACAATTTATCTGCCGTTTTCCCTCTTCTTGTTTACTAGTACAGAACAGTGCTAACAGGCACCATTTAGTATATTAGTGCTTATTACCCCTCAATATCTCCTTTTTTCCTTTAATTTATTTATTATTCATCTTTTAGTAAACAAAAAAACGGATAAAAAGAATCAGAGGCAAAGAAGAGGGCAGCATGCAGCGGAGCATTGGCTCCTGTACGACCACTGCAACAGCAGACGCTGACACGAACAAGCGTAACAGCAGTAATAACAGCAGCAGCAGCAACAGCAGCAGCAGCAGCAACAGCAGCGGTGTCATTCCTCAGCAGACTACCGTCTCCCCTTCTCTTTTCTTAACTCTTCGCCCTCCTCTTCCCTTTAGTGTTCCCTCTTCTTATATACAACCCTCTGCAGCAGCAGAAGCTCCTCTTGCTGCTGCTGCTGCATCAAGTACTCCTTCAGCAGCAGCAGCAACAGCAGCAGCAGCAGCAGCAGAAGTAGCTACTACCTCGTCTTCTGCAGCAGAAACATCCCCAGAAACCCCTGAAGCATCGGCATCAGCAGGGAAAGAAGACGAAGCAGCATCAGCAGCAGCAGCAGCAGCATCAGCAGCAGCAGCAGCAGCAGCAGCAGGATTGGATGAAGAAGCAGCATACGAAGAAGTACAATTATTAGATTTAGAGTTTGATGGCGTAGACAATCAATTTGTTTATCCTTGCCCTTGTGGTGATTTATTTGAATTACCTATAGATTCTCTTAAATCTGCTGCTGCTGCTGCTGCTGCTGCTGCTGCTGCTGCTGCTGCTGCTGCACCAGCTGCTACTCCTGGTGTAGCTGG